CAAAGGTTGGAGTTATGGCTTTTATCTCTCTTAATTTAGCCCTGACTTAGCCCAGAATTTTGGCACCTCTCCTTTCTGCACAAAGAGCAGGGAGGACTCTGGAGGTTGTATCAGATGAAAACCATCCAGCCTCTCAGACTGGGCTTTCTAGAACACCAATTCCCAGAGGAGTCTCCGGTCTCTCCATAATGACATTCCCTGGCACAGTAACCTCTGCTCTGTTCTTTTTGGAATTTAATTTTTGAAGACCGACTTTTGCTGTGTTCCTCCTGCCCAGGTCACAGAGCAGCAGCGGGTGGAGTGGGAAGGACTGTAAGAGAAACCAGTTTCCGGAGGCAGGAGCAGGATAGGGAAAAACCAGACGTGGAGTTGGAATGGGAGCACATAAGAAAGGATTTCCAGGAGCGGAAGAGAAGCAGCAATTTCTCAAACTTTTGGTAAACACTCAGCAGTAAGATAAAAGAAGATAAAAACCACAACCTGGCCAGTAATTTTAAAAAGGGCAATGCTTATCTTTGAAGCGTAGGTGCGTGGAGCAAGCCTCGTGTTTCTGTGTGAATATCGACTAAGGATTCATCTGCACGAGAAAGGAGGCTTATGCTTGGCTGCGTCTTTCTCCTGTTTGCTTCTGCTTTAACTTTTCTTGGCACATAAACACAGCATCCCCTTTTGAATTCCAACCCTGCCCATCCTGATCATGAACTCAACACTGAATTCAGGCTACGGGTGCTCTTACAGGGCTTTGTGGTCGAAGTTCTCCCCACAGTCTGTTCTCACAAGGGCTGATTTTACCGTAGGAAGTTTCACAAAGCCCAGACCTTGGAAATGCCGACTGTTCCTCTGGCGTGCATAGCACCAAGGGATCAGGCAGCTCCCGAGCTCGCAGGCTCCAGAAGGAAGCCCTTTCCTCGGGCTCGGAGGGGTGGATCGCATGGCCCTGGCACATTCCCAGCACCACCACGCATTTAATGGTAGGACTTCAACCAACCACTTGGTTTATTTAAGCTGGTGGGGAAATGGGGAAAGGAACCATGAGGAACTTTCTACATGTGTACTCCTCTTCAGCCTATCAGTCAGCCTGCACCAAAACCACTATACATGTGTATATACATACGTGATTATGTATATATACACATCACGTTTCATGTGTAACTGGCAAGCTGAACTAGTAGGCTCACTTTTGCCACCACACTGAGCATAAAGAATAGAGGCTCCTTAGAAAACACCCACCTTATTTTGTGTCTGAGCTCTGCAGCTTGAGGCCCTTCAGCAAGAATACACAAACTTAGGTAAAATAAAATTATTATCCCATCGAGGTAGTGAATAGCTGGAAAAAAAAATGGTGCAAAACCCAGAAAGGCAGTGACTGTTATTCTCTGGGGATGATTGTTATGAAGATCAAAATAAAATACAAGTTTTCTCTTAGAACAATAAAAACTGTTTTAAATTGAGAGTTTTCAGGTCCCCTTGGTGGAGCTAGTGTTTGGTATTACAGTAATTCTTGCAGGAATGCAGCAACCAAAATCTACCAGGTGGTACTGGTAGAAGAGAAGCTTTGGAAAGGGATACACGAGATCGGAGTAGAGGACACAGCAGGCTGAGGAGCTGTAGTGGAAGAAAAAGCATTTGCACTGAGCGGTAATACAGTTTATTTGGTGGCATATTATGGTGCCCTCCTACAGAATCAGCTCGGCTCGCTGTCAGTGCTGCCGTTACTTACCTTAATTCAGCAGGGAGAGGCAGGGGAAGCATCCATGGGGAAGTGCTGTAGCTTTCCTCCTGCAGCTCCTTTCACGTTTCTAGTGCAACCCAAGGACGCGGTGGTGGAAGCACCAGTTGTGAGTTTTGGTCCTTACAACTACTCAAGAACAAGAATTCTAAAAATAAGAACATTCTGAGACTAGGGACTTGGAGAAGTGCCATGGCACAGTCACGGATACTCCCTGCTAGCTCTTCCCTGCACGCCGCACCGGCTCAATCCTGGGAAATGAAGCTTTCCCTTTCCTCAGCCTCGTGCAACGTGCCGGGCTCTTGTGGTCTCCGTGGCCAAGTGCTCCGTGGGAAGTCTCCTTTTCACTGCTCAAATCACTGTGATTATTTAGGGAGCGCCCTTGTTCGTTGAAGCAGCAACAGCCTCCGTGTTGGCGGACACGTAATTCCGCTGAGCGGATCTCCACGTCCTCCTCGCACGTCCTGCGGGAGCTGAGAGATGTCCCCACTGCTGCAGCCGGGCAAGTCATGAAGGAAAAAGCCCAGCCCGTTCAAAAGAGAAATGAAGCTGCGGCCGCCGCTCTTTGGGAAATCCAGTGACGCTGGTTGTAGACATCGATTCCCAGCAAAACCTCAGCCTCTGAGCGGGTGTTCAGCAAGTCAGACCCTCGCAGAGATAAACCCCGACCCTCACTGGGACAGCGAAAGCACCGCCTCGGTATTTAAAAAGGAAACGTGCAAGAGCTCGGGTTAGATATTGTCGAACTGCTGTTGTCCATAGTGATGTGGTAGGTTAAATATTTAAATATAGTGTTGCTTGTGGTGATTAGAAACTCCTTTTGGGCTAAACCAAAGGGCAGTTTGCTGAGTTCTAGCTTGGACTCGAACACACTGCAAGTGCTGCCCACTTACAGGAAGAACCCCCCGAGAGCCCCTCCCAATTACACAGCACGGACACGGGAAACATAACAAAACAAAATATCCTTTATTAAAATTAAGCATGTTAGCACCTCAGTGTAACCTGGATACGTGGGACAGTCCAGCAGTTAACCAGTCCAGCAGGCCAAATGGCTGAACATCCTGAAGTGCACTGCAATGGTAGAAAAGTACCACGACTGTTAGGACATGCACGTTCTCAAGAAGCCAGGGTGCACAAAGGGCCTCGTTTGCAAGGAGAGACCTTGTGCTGCCTGTTGTCTTGACGGGAGCCTAGATCTGCTGGACCAATTACATATGTTAAATCAGATGGTGTAGCTGATAGTTGCTAATATCCCTACAAAAAAAAAAAAAAAAAAAAAAAAAAAAAAAAAAAAAAAAAAAAAAAAAAAATCCCAAAAAAAAAAAAAAAATCAAAAAAACACCTTGCTGCATACTTGAATGGCAGAAAAAATCAGCACACCACAGAGCTGAGGTTAGAGCTACATATCAAATTGGAAAAAAAATAAATTAAAATGAAATAATGGGAAGTATTTAGTACATGAATAGATCCGTAGTATCCTCACGGTCAACCATCCAACTCAATACACACATTACTAAAGAAATGACCCATGCATCACATAGCAGGCTGTGACAACCAGTGCTTTTTAGCTGAACTGGCCAGATGATCAACAGATAAACCTCCAGATACCAAATCCCAATGTGCCCTTTTGTTTCAGTCCCACAGGCAACAACAGTGGACAGCTGTAAAGTTATGTTAGCCAGTGTTACAAAGCTTACAATATCTCCAAACTAAAGATACTTTTTAACATTTCGAAAATACTTCTATAAAATTTAGTAAAATTGATATCCTGATCTACTGAGTGTAACACGCACTGATTACAGGAAAAAGATCTTAGAGACCCAGAAGACATCTGGACATTCCTTCTAATGTAATCATGGACACCCTGTGCTGAACCGCCTCTTTGCGTTAAACGTTTGTCACTATCTAAACTGTACCTCCTATATATGCATCGAGACAGAGCCATGCAGGTGTGCCAGGCATCCTCCTCCTCCTCCTCTAACGCCCCGTGGAGCTACTTGTTCCACTGGCTAATCTGCAAGGACACATTTAGGCCAAACTGCCAGCCTTGCCAGCCTCACCTCGTCACCTTCCTTTGCCACCTTTGGTTTAACTGTTGCTGAAAGCGTGGGCACTGACACAGGCTAGGAACAGAAACGACACAATCATTCCATGTAGACTTGTTAAAATACTCTTAAATCTTGGTTTAGAGCACACAAGCACATTTCAGTGAAGTCCTGCCTAAGGTACAGGCTGTTAGTCATGCCAACTTCTTTTGGAGTTTTAGGCAGCAAGGGTTTGCAACCACTGCAGATAACTTTGCTTCTCTTCCAACTGTTCCATCCCATAAATTTGCTTTCTCTTATGACGAAAGGTGAGGATTCTAAATCCCAACCTCTGTCTCCCTGGCGGGAGGTTTTAAGCCAATGAGAAACTACAGCCATCAAATGCCACCAGGTTCATCTTCCCAGCTCATAATCCTCACTAGTGCTGAGCGCGTCACGACATGTGTAACAGCTACGTATGTACTGCAAGGGAAGCAAGCACTACATAGTACAAGAGCACTCTTGACTTTGGGGCTTCTTTCACACTAGAAATGGCAGTCTTTTATGGCATCAGTAATTTACTGAAGAAACACATTACCCTGAGAGGGTTTCTAAAGCTTTCCTCACGCCTCTGCTGAGGGAGGCCAAACAAAACGTCGCTGTTCGTTCCTATGAAGGGTTCGGTGCCAAGCGTGTCTCCTCGCGCGCCTTCTCCAGGGGGTAGTGTTGCTGCTACCTCACTTAACACAGCGGGAGCTTGTTTGCCGAAAGCCGATACCCGAATGGACTGATGTCCATCCACTCTGTGGTGACACGGGTCCCATCTACACTCAAACAAACCCAACATTTTTCCCAGCTGCCCGCACAGAGAGGGATGCAGAAGGCGCCAGCATGGAAAGGAGACCGGCAGCTGCCAGCAGCACGGACTCTGTGACTACCCAGGCTGCAAAACGGGGCCTGTCATCTCGCTGGCAGCAGCGCCCCATCTACACCAGGGAATCCAAGAGCACGGGCTCGTCTGGCGTTAGGGCGACTTCAGCAGCAGGGGGGCAGAGGGCCGGGGGGCTGTGGGGCCGGGGGCCGAAGCCCTTGGCTTCTTCCCACTGTCCTGGTTGCCCCCGTGCAGAGCGAGGCCCAGAAGCTTCTGGGGCAGCCCCAGCGGCACCTGGCCCCGGGGGCTGCGCGCCCCGCGGAGGGGCCGGGCCAGGTCCCCCCGGCGGCGCGGGCCGGGCCCGCGGGTGCTGCCCTCAGAGGCCGTGGCGCTTGCGGGTGCCGGCGCTGGCGGCGTGCAGCAGCCGGTCCTTCTCGCGGATCTCCTCGCGCAGCTGGGCCTCGGCCAGGCGCAGGCGGCGGATGCTGCCCTTCATCTCCTTCATCTTCACCTCCAGCAGCGCGATGATGTCGCGCTGCTCGTTGAGCTTCCGCAGCAGCTCCTCCGACGTGGTGCCCGACGAGAGCGAGTACGAGTGGTCCGGGGGGCCGCCCTCCAGCGGCCCCTCGTCCCCCGCCGCGGGCAGCCGGCCGGGCGCGGGGCCGGGCGCGGC